TTTAAAAATTTTTATGAAGATGCCAAAATCATAAAAGGTAATGGTCCTGGATAAATTTCACCTTTTGAATTATTTAAGAAGCACATTCACCTTTTCAAAGAATTGAAAGGGCAGCACACAGATTAGTCCGACACCTAGTTGCTGTCATGTGCCTTCAAGGAACTAACAGCTGATCCTCCAGCCGGTTTTCAGAGGTTTAAGTGACAATGGAGTGAAATGCCCATCTTTCCCCCATGCAGTAGCCGGTTGATTCAAACTGCCTGTCTCTGGGCTGGCAGCGCAATTCCTTACCCACCTGGCACCAGAGCTCCCTCACATATACATACTAGGGGTTCCATAAATATCTGCTGATTGTGTAAATCAACTCAATCTCTCAAGAGGAGAAGTACATCATAAGCCTCCAGAGACAACTGCAGGCAAAGGAGATCTTTTCTTAAAGCTTCATTATAAACAGTAACTTATACAAATGCTTGCAGAAATGAGTATTATATACATATTAAAAACCAAACTAAATTTACATTCTCAATCAGACATAATCCATTTTCTGTGCAAGAAAATGATCACACTTAATATCTTATCACTATGTACTGAGTTTCAAAAATAAAAGGTTGCATTATCCATTTTAAAAAAAGTTCAAATTAAGAAGCTTCCCATAACTATAAAGCAAGCCATTTTACTGCCCAGAGATATAACAAAACGCATCATTAAGAAAATATCTGCAGATTACCCCATTCCTATAAATTGTGCCTTAGAACCTGCCGTGACTAGTCTTAATTCAATCTTCTAATTTTATTAATATGCATTTTCCATCTTAAAAATGCTGACCCAGACATAAAAATCTTCTAAGAATATCATCACCAAGTTAGCAAAGAGGAAAATGCTTGAGGAGGGTATTAAATCTAACACAGTTGGGTTCAAATTCCATCTTTGTTGATTATTAGCTGTATAATCTTGACCAGTTTTTTAACCTCATCTTGCCCGTTTCCCTCATTTCCAACTCCATACTGAAACCAACAGAATTTACCAACTGTGATACATATGAGAGGCTAAGAAATAATGCAGCATGTCTAGAAGCTGGACGGCCAGAGGTGACAGCAAGAAGAGGATGAGATGTGGGTAATCAAGGGCACCCTTAAGCAGCTGACCACCCAACAGCCACCCAGGAATGAGAGGTAGGGCACAAAGGAACGAATCTGTAGAATCTTCCACAAAAGAAACTTCCAGAAATCAGAGGGATGGCTATCACCAACATTTATTTTAAAAATAGTTTATGAAATGTCTCTTCAGTTCAAAATACATTCAAATACGAATGAAGCAGAAGCTAAGCAAATGTATCTTGATTGTTTACAAGCCTTTCTAACTAAAATAAAGAACTCTCCTAACACATGACTGACCGGGTACAGATTATCTTACATGTCTCATTTACCTGTGAATTTAATCGTGACAAAGTGAGCCTTCTAGAATCAGACACCATTGACAATGATGACAGAAAAAAAATTATGGTGTACTTTCTGCAAATCAGGCACATTATCTTTCTATGTAATTTTCCCCATTATGATATCGTAATTATAAGGTTAAAAAAAGTCCCATTTTCAGGAACGATGTATGTGTAATTCAGTCTTAACTCAAATCTATTTTAGTAAAATCCCAATGATGCTCTTGGTTCTCGTCAATCTTACAGTGACAAGAACACAAACACGGTACAGTTTTCTCAGATGGTTTTGGTTTTGTGCTCTCCAGACAGCCTTCGGTGTTTATCACTTCACTTCATTTGTAACTAACTAGACATGGTATGGGAGCCTTCAAGGCACATGGGTTCAATACTGGCTGCTAACTAAAAGGCAGTCTGCTCCTGGAAAACTCTGCAGTCTAAGGAACCCTAAAGTCTAAGGGCGGTTCCTTTTCTCTACCTTCCAGGGAGGCTGTGAATGGTTGTGAATGGTTGGAGACTTGGTATCATCCCCTTTTCCAATACTATTAGGTCTCCCCTTGGTTAAAAATCATCTATTGCGCAAAGAAACCCATTCTCCTCACAGCATAAAGGGAGGATTACTCATTCATTCATCAGGGGAGGTGGCTGGGTTAGTTGTCTAAAATCCCCTTTATCTCTAAGCAGGATAGAGAGGCTCCAGCAGCCAAGCACCTACAGGAGCATCTCAGACACGCACAGGCAGACGCAGACACACACACACACACACACACACACACACACACACACACACAGTCATTATTTTCATTGGAATTATCCTGAGTTTTTTAAAAACTACTCAATAACAAATTCTTTTCTGTTTGAACTTTTAAATTTCATTTTATTTGCTGACTCTTTTTCCTCCATCCCCCACAACCCTGCAGATACAATTCACCTAATTCCTTTAAAATTCTACCTTACAAGCAAGGTACACAACAGCAACCACAAAGGGGTGGCTGAGTAAATTAATGAAAAACAAAGAAAAGACTAAGAAGTCAATTAATTCCGTAAATCTAAATCTCCATGGAAAAATCTGAAAGATAAATCACCTCATGTGATTTATTGTGCTCTGCCACGGGGGAAATAGGCTGCTTCTGGAATCCTCTTACCATGGGCCCTCACACCTGGAACACTGGTGTTTCACAGCATTTATTAATGTGGAAAATGAAGATCAAAAACCAGCTTGAACTTTGCATTTCTTTGCTGTCATTTCTCCATCCCTAAACCACAGGAGCATCTTGTGAAAAGGGGAGTGTAGTAAGCCATCCTGAGTCTATGACCTCAGCTCACTGAGGGATTCTCTCAGCCAGGTAAAAGGTCTTATTTTACTGTTTCCTCCCACCATATAAACAAATTTTTATTTCTTAAAATGTCTACATTTAGCATCTAAAAAGTAATCATAAATTTACTTCTTTCTAGCATGTAATTTCTAAGCAAAGGCCTCCCTGTTTCCCATGGCTGTATCCGTACTGCTAATATAAAGCTGGCATTTAATAAATATCTGCTGAATGGAAATCTAAATGTATGTTTCAGATGACAAAACAGAGAAAGAATCAGACACTTGGGAGCACTCTGTGAAAGAGAGATAAAAGAATAACTACTAGTGGAAACATCTAAGCATTTACACTACAAAAACAGTGTAAGGTTGAAACAGGGAGCCTATATTAATCTTGAGGAGTCCTGGTGGTGCGGGGGATTAAGTGTTCCGCTGCTAACAATAAGAGCAATGACTGGATTCCCCCAGCTCTATGAGAAAGAAAGATATGCCAGTTTGTGTCACTAGGGATTAGAAGACTTAGAAGCCTGTGAGGGCAGTTCTACTCTGTTATGCGGAGACGCTCTGAGTCAGAACTGAGTCAACATCATTGCGTCAACTGGACATTTACCACTTCCTCTAAACTCTGCTCCATCTGAAGGCAAAGCATACCCATCATTCCATGATCCAGATTTAATCTGCCCAATATGACTGGTCACCAGTGGCAGGCGCTTTCTTTCTCTCTCTCTTTATCATCAATCAGAACCAAGTCATTACTGACTCTTCAGAGGATATTTAGAGGCTTTTAAATCACATGGGATGAGACTTGTCTGTCCACCCTTCTCCTAAGAAGCTGCTGGTGGATTCCAATCACTTCTCTATGCGTTGGCAGCTCTACTCCTTAAACACTAAGCCTTGTAAGCCTATTAGACACTTGAAATGTGGCTAGTCCAAATTGGATGTACTGGAGATGCAAAATACAAAAAAGATTTGCAAAGACTTAAGACAAAAAAAATTAAATAGCCCATTGTTTTATTGTGGTTGTTTTAAGTACAGGCTTAAAAAGGATGATGTTTTCATAATACAAGGATGATTAAAATCAGTTGTTAGAATCAATTTCACGCATCTGTTTCTACTTTTCCTAATGTGACGGTCAGAAAATTTAAAAAACATATAAGTAGCTCATTTACTATCCCTCACCCTAGACAGGCTAATCTCCCCTGACAAACATCCACGTGTCAATCACAGAGCAATGCTTACTGAAAACAGACTCAAGGCTATTGTCCCATGGATTCTAACTCATGTGACCCTCCAGGGGGTTTCAGAGGCTGCAATTTTTTACAGGAGGAGACTCCTCGTCCTTCTACTGCAGAGTGACTCGTGGGTTCAAGCTGTCAGTCTTTCAGTTAGCAACCAGATCATTCATTACACACTATGCCTTTAAACCTTGAAGACCTAACAACAGGACCCAAAACCCAACTTCTCAATCCGTGGGGAGACTGCTAATCTGTCCACCAAGTAGCAGGCAGTTTACATGTGTATAGTTTCCACTGAAGACTTACAGCTGCATTGGGAGAGGAACACTTGGTCTTGAACTCAGATAAAGAAACTGAGCTGCAGAAATGAGAAAGCACCTGTGCAATGTAAAGAGCGGTGAAGTCAAAGGTCAAAACACTGCGCCCAAGTCAATTTGACTTCCAAACACACAGGCTTGTCCTGTTCTCCAGTCACACAGAGGAAACCTCACCATGTAACAAGATGCTAAAAGGATGGCCCGTCTCTGGCCTGAGCTCTCTTCTCACTGACACTCTTCACCTTTCAGCCATGTTCCTCCAGCCTCTGAACCACAGAGGAGGGAACGAGCTTTAAAGGACTTAAAAAGACTTGGAAAGGTGGCCAGGCAGCAATATGCTGCTATTTCAAATAAAAGAATAATAATAGTGGATACTGATCAATGATGATTGATTTTATAAAACACAAGGTGTGGGAATGATCGTATGAAAAATAATGTGAATGATGGAAATTGTAAAATATGATGTATATGAATGACACACAATATATACAAACTCTGTATTTAAATCAAAATAAAAATGATTTTTTTAAAAAAATCAATCATTTTCTCATTGTGCTTTTCAGCATTTTCCAATTCAAAGGTCTCGACTGTATTGTTCACTTTTGGTAAAATCCACTAGTTACGTTTTATATCCACTGAGAAACCACAACCTGTGGCTCGACCAACTTGGAAGCACATATTTCACCTGCTATTAAAGAGCTTACTTAGTTTCTTCGCTGCCTCGAGAGCCTCATCTGCAGTGTCTACCACAAAGAATCTCTGCACCTTCACTCCGTTGTCCGACATCAGCTTCTTGCTCTGGTATTCCTGCAGGTTCAGCCATCTTCGTGAGGTGACTTGAATTGCCTAGGGAATTTGGGAGAGAGCAGCTATTAATAAAAAGAACTAATAGTCCACTTACATGGCCCATTTAACAGACACCTTCAATGTCAGCAACACAGAATTTAGAGAAGCAAAAATTAAGCAAATCAATAAAAATTCTTCATGAAAATGACTTTTTGAGGAAGTGCCAAAGTGCCTTCTAGAGTGGCTGCACCATTTTACAATCCCACCAACAGTGTAGAAGAGTTCCTATCTCACCGCATCATCTCCAACATTTAATTTTTTTTTAATTTTCTGTGTGTGTGTGTGTGTGTGTGTGTGTGTGTACCATCAAATTGGATCTGACTGGTACAGGAGGCGATTGTTCCTCCTTCTTCAGCAGAGCATCTGGTGGATTTGAACCACGCACCTTTGGGATTGCAGTGCAGTTTCCTGCCACTAGGCCACCAAAGCTCGCCACCTCCGACATTTATTGCTTGCTGTCCTGTTAAACTTCACCACTGCTACTGGGGTGAAATGGTATCTCATTGTGGTTTTGATCTGCATCTCTTATTGCCAGAGATTTTGATCCTTTCTTCATGTGTTGGTTGGCCATCCAAGTACCTTCCTCTGTGAAGTCTTTCCATGTCTTTTCTTGGTGTGCTACTAGTCTTTTTCTTGGTGTTTCCTCAAAAAGTTGAACATAGACATTCTATATGACCCAGCCATTCCACTACTTAGAATCTGTTGTTGTTGTTCTTGTTGACTGCCATCCGGTTGAGCACAACTCATAGTGACTCTATGAACAAAAGACCTGACGCCTTTATATAACAACTGTTGTTTCTCCAAGTTCATAGAGTTTCCAAAGGCATGTGGTTTAGGAAGTGGATGCCACTCTTGCCCTCAGAAAATTAGAACTGAGGCACAAACAGAGATTTGTACACTAATGATCACAGCAGTATTATTAATAGTTTCAAGAATAGGGAAACAGCCCAAATGTTCAACCACACTCGAATGGATTGAGAAATTATGGTATATTCACATGATGGAATACTATGCAGTATGTAGGAACAATGATTTTTTAAAATACTATCAAACTTGGGAGGGTCTGGAGAGCATTATGCTAAGTGAACTACCTCAGTCCCATAAGGACAAATACTATATAAAATCATTACTGTAGAAACAGATAACTAGTAAAACATGTATGAGGATCTAAGGGGGGGTGAGAGCAGATGGGTGAGGATGGGGGGAGGTTAATCACAGGGTCGCTCGCACTCGCACAATCTGATGGATGGAGGGTAGGGTAGGTAAAGGAAATAGGAAAGATCCATGTGAAAAACAACACACACAAACTTTGTAAATAAACCAGTATAAAATAAAAATTGTATTGGTTGACTCTGGAGAACATTATGCTGAGTGAAATATCCCAGTCACAAAAGGACAAATATTACATGATGCCACTGTTGTAGAATGGGACTGTC